CATTTCAATTATACATTGTATATGTATATAATTATTGCTATTTAGAAATAAGTTCTTAAACTTATTTTTTTTAAAACATAGAAGAATAAATAAAGAAGTGAAACAAACAATTATCTCTTCTAGTTAGAACCTTTGTACTCTGTTGCTGGTTGACGTAGGTTGCTAAACCTTTTAAAATTTCACATGTGGAAGATATGAAACAAAATAGTAATTTTTTAGGTTTTTATATATACAGTTGAATAACCAAAAAATCATAAGTTACAATATTAATACCATTGAATTCCACTATAATTTATCAAGCTTAGTAACTAAGCTGTATTTCAGTCTTAAAGACATATGAACTTTCATGCAGACTAAAGACACAATCTACCTCCTTGAAATCTTGGTTCATAAGAAAAAGATGGCATTCTAAGAATTTAAAATTGCTAAGAAAGCCACTAGGGGGACATTCTGAGCTTTTGATTGGTTACTCATGTCATATATAGAAGTAAGTGTATATAAGGGAGAGTTTTCAAAAATTGAAAGAGGTGGTTGTGGTGCCACTGTGTTTCATTTATTACATGAGGAATATCTTGGCAAATAGAAAAGATAAGAGGTTCTTGTTTTATATTCTAGCTTGTCAATTTTGGTAATTTGAGTTCCTAATTTCTACAAAACTATAGACTTAGTATTTTGACATCACAAACATCTAATTTGAATCAGTGCTGCATTCAACATACCATATGACACAAAAAAAATTGATGTTTAACTGTTTATTTAATATTTACTTTTAGATTAAAAAATTGAGTAATGTGTAATACTAAAATTTGAATTATAATCTATGGTTTGATATCAAATTTATCGACATAAATTCATGAAATAATAGTTCACTATAATTTTGACATGGCATTTCCCCCGTGACCTGTCTGTAAATGGTTAAAAGTAACATTAGCCAATTTCTAATCATTTGGCATCTGCCCACTGTTCAAGGACTTATAGAAAATATTAGCAAGTGACTTATATCCAATCCTTAACCTCATTCAGAACCCTTTTGAAAAATTATCTGATCCAGGAACTTGGTCATTCTTTAAACTTCCCAATTTTTTCTTAATTAGCTTGGAATTGATGTGATCATCGTGTTTGACATTGTTTTTATCTAGCAACTGTTAAGGATGAGGAATATTGCTTGAATCTTCATTAGTAAAAATTGAAGAAAAAGTAGAGTTTAAAAAACCCAGCCATCTCACGATCGTGAAATATGAAACTTCTGGTATTATTCCTCAATTGCTCTACTATCACCCTAACATTTTTCTTGCCTTTAAAGTTTTAAAATAAATTCATATTATTAATTTCTAACTTTTCAGCCAACCTTTTTTTCATATAGTTTTTTTCAATTTCCTAGTTTTCTATTTGATCAACTCTCTTTATTTCTAAAGTAGTCAATTTGAACTTTTTAAATTTGTATTGTTTTTCTTTAATTTTATTCTATATACCCTTTGAGAGCCAACCTGATTTTTGGCTCTAAGGAACATGCCTGTCTTGAATACATAGAAATGTGTTTGAAAGTTTTCCACCTTTGATCAGTTCCTTGAAGTAATTCCAATTGTCCAGTTTATAACAGATAATTATTGCTTCATCCATTCAGAATTTGCTTTTTTGGGATTTATTTGTACCAAAAGTTCATTATTCCTTATATCCATATGCAGCTAAACATCAAACCCAATTGAGCAGTGATCACTTTCATCCATAGGTTTCCCAATCTCCACCCTATCAACCATTTCTATTTCGGAAGCTATCAATAAATCTAAAATAGTATGTTTCCTGATCAATTGGTGAAGAAAAACAACCTGAACAGTTTGTAAAAACCTGTCTCACTCATGACTTGACTTAACATTTCCCAATCTATATGTCTGATATTAAAATCTTTCATAATTATGATTTTATTAATAGCTGAATTCTTTATCTCACTGTAGAGTTCCTCTTTAATTTTGTCAGTTTGATTTGGTGGTCTGTTACAAATTCCAGCTAAAGCCTGCTTCTCTTATAATCACTAGACAAAACTCAAATGGATTAAACTTCATTGCTGTTAGCTTTTATAACCTGAACTGGAAGAGGCTGTAACTCACATTTTACATATAAAGCTATTCCTCCCCATCTTTTTTAGCATCCTATCACTATTAAAGAACATATAACCCTATATTTCCAAGAAATTCCTGTCATGAAAATTGTATACGTTTAATTAGGTTTCAGTTGTTCATGTAACATCAAAATCCTCTGTTCCGATCAGTCATCCATTTTATTTCATATACTTCTAGCATTATATTTTTCTTCATTATTATGGCCCTTAGCACTGTTTTGTTAATGTTTAAAGCTGCTCTTACAGTTGAGTTTAATAGCTTTGCAAACAAGCCAGTCCCTACCACACTTAAATAAATTATTCATTCATTTTCTATTGAACTGAACCCATGAGTTCAATAAGACAAACTGCCTCTTCCTTACATAAATATTAGGTCATCAAGAAATTAATGTCGTGCTTTCTTTCATTAATCCCCACCTAAAAACGTACATCACTTATAATAGTTAAACAAACCACCTAAATGTCACATTAGTGTAGCCTATATAATGTGTAAAGTTTAGTATACTCTAATTCCTTATAGTGGTGACACATGACAAGACACACATTTGGTATGTAATGCTGTTTGAAGGGAAACAATGCCTCTATTGCCACAAAGAATATCAGAGAAGTTTATGGAAATGTTTTGAACATTCGTAAATGTCAACGATGGTTCAGCAAATTTTGTTCAGGTGACTTTAGCCTTAAAAACTGTGATGGAAGGGGCCAACATATTGGAAATGATATAGCTGCTCTGAAGATGCTTGTTGAGTCTGACCCAAGGCAATACACTCATGAAATGGCCCTGAAATTACATGTCTCTCATGAAACAATATGTAAACATCTAAGAAATATGGGAAAGCTTCATAAAGAAGGTGTTTGGTGGTGCCTCATGAACTTGTTGATGATCATCGTTTCCAATGTGTGAATGTTGCTTTGTCTCTTCTGGCACATAGTGTGTGAACCATTTTTGGACAGAATTGTCACTGGTGGTGAAAAATGGACTATCTATGCAAATATTAAACACCAAAAACAATGGCTCAGTCCTAGAAAAAACCACTTCCGATCCCAAAACCTGAACTCAATCTGTAGAAAGTGATGCTTTGCATTTGGTGGGACATCAAAGGAGTAACTCATTTCGAACTCGTCAATCCACAGCAAACTGTCAATGCAGAGATTTATAGTCAGCAACTGGAACGTTTAAATCAAGCCCTTCACTCACCAATCAGAAAGTGTTCTTCTCCATGACAATTCACGCCTACATGTGGCATGTTTGACACAACACAAGATTATAGAGTTGCATTGGGAAATTCTCCCCCAACCACCATATTCTACAGGTATGGATCCATCAGATTACCATCTTTTTCATTCACTGCAGCACCATCTTAATGGGAAAACGTAGGTGGAAGGTGTTAAAGAGGACATCAACATGTTTTTGCTTCAAAACC